GAAGAGTGCAGGAGAATCACTGCTTCTCAGTGAAAGTGGACAAAACTACAGTTGTGACTCCTGGCCAATTTTTAATATCTTCCCAGCAAGAGTGGGAGGGATCCCTGCCTGGACACTGGCTGCTACAGGGTGAAGGCATCTTTGCAGCTTCCAATGATCAGTTCATGCAGCTGGGCTGAGCCAGAATTGCTGGGTTGATACTGGCATGAAGGGGGCCCAAGCCATGACAGGGAAGTACAGCAGGTGTATACCTAGAATCCAGGCCACTGTACCCCAAAGGTTGCACATACCAGCTGCCTCACTACCTAAGATAAGGAAATGGGTAGCTGCTCTTGTTGGCCATTGTGAATGGTGCATTTGAGCTCAGAGCAAAGGCCAGGATTTCCCTGCCTGGGTGAGGCTGGGCCTGTGCTGAACGTGTCACCGAGCAGGACAGCTAACTCTCTCTAGGAGATCTAATGGGGCCACTCAACTTGGGGGGTCCCATCCACTCTACCAATCATCTGTGAGAAGGATGTCCTGATAGAGGCACAAGCGCCTCGGTTAGGCCTGGTTCAGAAAGAACCAGAAATAAATGCAGGTTTGGGCGGGTGGTTGGATGGAGTGGAGGCTGCGTGAAAACTGGGAAGGGCCAGGCAGGTTTGGGCACGTGGTTATATAGTGGAGGCTGTAGGAGGGCAAGGCAGGGGCCAGGCAGGTTTGAGTTTGCTTAGGTTTGAGTAAGTGAGGGTTTGTCAGACGTGCAGTCTGCCCCTTCTCTGTGCTGGGGAAACAGCAGATTACAAATCTCCCAGGGGAAATTGTCCCAGGCCCACAGAGTAGTTTGGCACCCAACTCTCACATGTACCTTTGAAAAATGTCTCCCATGGTTTTTGTGTCTGGGATTTCCTACAGGTGATCACCATTATATTGCTGTGTGTGCTTATGCCTTCCAATGTGCCCTTCCCCTGTATCATCGCAGCGGGCAGGGAGCTTGTTACCATGGCACACAGGCTGGCAGCATTTTGACTTGCTGTTACATCACCGTTGTTGTTTTTCTGAGAGAGCCATTTCATCTCTGTGTGATATAATCAGCCCACAAGAGGCAGTAGGTGAGTCGCTCCCACAGCGACACTATCATCTCCCTGCGCTTGCTTGATACCCCCATTAATACATCCAGGGATGGTGTTAGCCCTTTTGGCCCTGGGAGCTTCTGGTTAGTTGTTTAGGTACAATGACCCCCGATGTGGTTTTCAGAGTCACTGCTTTCCAGGCTACAGTTTCCCATCCTGCAGGAACTACATGTATGACCTAGCATTTGGCAGTGTACAAATGCATGTTTGATTGTGTTCAGTTTACCAAGTAATCCAGATTACTCTGTATGAGCGATCTGTGTTCAGGGCAACTGCTTCTCCATGCGTTTCCCCCTTCATGGTCCCTTGAGGGCACTCACTGTTGTCTCCCGGCTCCTCTCTTGGGCAGAGACCCACATCTCTCTCCGTCCTGTCTGGGATGTTTCCAGGATACACAGTTCTCTGCCTACACTGGGATATTCCCAGCAACAGCCTAAACGGCCAGCAATTGTGCTTTGTTTTCTCTCCAGCAGCTATAAAGAGCATAATTGCCCACAGTTATAGGTTACCACACAGCTGTTTCTAAGCACCATTCTTAAGGTGAAAGAATCACAGAGAAACATATTTAAAGCAATCAAAAAACTACCCACATGCTAATAAGCTTACTGGAGATATCCCCCAACTCTAACTTCAGGTAGGCAGGCTGGGCAGTCTGCGTGAGGGCTGGACAGGGGCTGGGCAGGTTTGGAGGGGAGGTTGGCTGGAGTGGAGGCTGCATGAGGGCAGGTGTGCGGCAGATTGGGCGGGTGCCTAGATGGAGAGGAGGCTGCATGAGGGCTGGGCAGGGGCCAGGCAGGTTT